TGTACAAATCAGATGTCACTCGTGGCAACTTGTCAAAATGTCAGTCTGGCACGGCGGCATGAAAGGCTTTCTGGAGAGAGAGACAGACGCAAGGCAGGCTTTAAAGCACTCCAGTGCGAGCTGCAGAAAGGAGTGGGGGGGAATGAAGCCCCTTGATCCTGAGGGCTTTACTTTATTAAATATCTCAAGCTGTACTGGGGGACGGGCCTTGGGATCCGGGTTTTGGAGACATCAGGTCTGACGGCTCCCAAACTGTGGCTCCTGTCGGATCATGTCAAGTCTCTCTGCTGGTTATGTTCACTTAGTGGCAGAAGGCGAGGGGTGCTAGCAGGGTTGTGTGGGGACCCAGAGAAAATCCATGTCTTCTGGTTAAAAAAAAAAAAAAATTGGGTCTGTGAGTTGGCAGTGTCCTAGGGTGGGCTCCTTGTGGCCAGAACTAAGGGTGCCTTCTGGCCCATAAATGCAATCTCCTGCTTCCACGGGGGTCAGGAAGAAGCTGGGAGGAAGGGGTGATCCAGTCTCAGGTGCAGCCCTGAGGAGACAGGCCTGCTGTTCTCTCAGAGTGACAGAGGGCACAGTCCCATGCCTCCCACCCAGGGCTCACCGTTCTACTCTGTGTGCTTCCCGAACTTTCCAGACTTCCTATTCCCCAGCCTTCCGCTAGTCAAGGATCCTGCGATTTGGTAAGCTCCATAATTATCTTAGTTTGACATAGCAGGAAATGTTATTAATAGTTGGAAAATGATCTGAATTTCTTGCCTAGGGAGGGGTAAGGGGAGTGTGGAAAAAGAACCCGGCCAGGGTGCCAGTCCTCCAGTGGACAGACTGCAGGGGTCCCAGGAAACATGGCTGTTGAGTATTTCAAAAAGTAGCCCCTGGGGAGGCAAATGAGGGGTGGGGGTAGGGGTGAGTAGTGCTGAAGCGGAGATGAAATTATGACCAACCTTCGGTCTGTGTGTCTATCCAGGGGAGTGGGGAGATGCCAAGTAAAGCTATAGTTTTCAATATTCTGCTATCACCCTTCTACTCCCAGGAAGTTCTGCAGGATTGAATACTGCTTGTCTTCAGAGAGGAGGGCAAGGACTCGAAAAGATTGGTGCATGCTCCCAAATTTAAGCTCACTGAGGCTCCTATTTTTGGTTCCTTCCTCACTTTGCCTCAGGAGGAGTGGTTGCACCCTGAGCTCCCCAACAGCACCTTCCCACCACACCCTCCTCTTCTGGCCCATCCATTTCCCCCTGAGATGCACAGTATCCACATCAGGAGGAGGCATGCTCTGACCTGAGAAGTGGGGAGCTTGCTGTCTCTACTCCCTTTCATTCCTTTGGACTTTGAATGATTGAAACTCCTTTTCTTCATAGGTTTCCAGAAACTCCTGCTACGATGCAAATACTTCTTTGAAGGGTGACACTTCCTTACTGGGAATCAGGTAACACACTGCTGAAAGCAAAGAAGTATTTGGGGGGAAGGGAGAGGGATGGAGATCAGAGCAGGGTAAACACGAGGCTCCTAGGGAACTGAACACCTGAACACCCCCCTCCCCCATTATATTTTGGAGAATCTTACCTACTTGATACATTCTTGCCTGTCTCCAGATCCTGGAGCAAGACTTCTTTTCGAGAGGCAGGAAGGATGGGTGAGGGAAGGGTCTTTCCCAAACCTCTCACTGCCTTGCTGTGTAAGAGGACAGAGCCCTTCTCTTGTCCCCTCAACAGCACGAGGCTCAGGGGTGCTGGTGGCTGAGTCATTCTCTGCTGGAAGCACACAGTCTAAGGTGTGAAGCGGGGGATTTTCCTCTCCTAGAGCCCAGAAGGCAGCTTTGCCTGGCATTGTTCCTAAAAGGGAGAAGAGTCAGGTCCGCTGTTGTTGATGGTTCTGTTGAGGTGTGGCTGGGTGAGCAGCTCGACTGACCTAACAAGTGTGTGAGATTATCCCAGGTGAAAAGTCTCAGACATCAAGAGGTATGATAATGATAATGGTCATGATGATGGAATAATCGTGGCAATTATTCTAATAATCCCTTAGGACGTAGATCATGTCTCTCAAAGTGCTCAGAGCACTTTCATACTTGTGATCTCACATAACCTCAACCTACTTCTGGTAGAGAGATCCAGTGGGTCAGCCTATGGTAGCTGCACGGGGCACACTGAGGCATCAGGCTCCAATCTTTCACTCTGGTCTTTTTTACTGAGCTACATGAGCCCTGGAGAAGTAAATCTTTTTTTTTTTTTTTTTAACTATTATCTAATTTGGAGTTATTATCATGTCTCCGAGAATGAAACACACACACAAAGACACACAGGCACACACTCACACACATAGATACAAATACCCACAAATGCAGACAGTTACAGGCACAAATACCTACCCATACGCATTCAAAGATAGACACACACACAAAGACCTGTGTAGACACATAGATATGCACACACGGCTACTCACACATCTGGGGTTTCCAGCCTCCCAGCAGGCCTTTGCTGAGAAGTGTCCAGTGTGGAGGGTGGAGAGGCCCACTCGCTGGCCCTCCACCATGCCTCTGCTCTCTCCTGTGTAGTTCATCAAAAGGGAACGGGAGGAGGTAGATCTGAGGAGCATGTCACAGGGAGAACTTTCTTTAAAAGAAATCGCTTCGTGCCATAATGCAGGGGAACTGACTTTCATGTGGCAAATGCATTCTGGCAGCTCTCTGTGCCACAGGAGGAAGTTTATTAAAGTAGGAGCAGGCGAGGGGAATTTTCCCAGCCCCTCCTCCAAAGACAGCTCTGGCTCCACATGCACACTGGGGTCTCTTTCACAGGGGGAGCGCTGGGTCCTGAGAGGCCAATGAGTGGAGGCCAGAGCCTGAGCAGTGGGTGCCCAGTGCTAGCTGGAGCCCTGTGTTTTCATTTCCCCAATGTTTCTCTGCTTCGTAACTTCAGGGAGGCCAGCAGGGAGGAGAGTCGGGGTGGGGGGAGAGGAGGGGGAAGGCAGGGAGGAAGAAGAAGGAAAAAACCCACCAGCCCGTCTGGCATTAGTTCAGAACGCTCTCCAACTCACACATCTGGTTCTTATATTTCAAAGTTAATTAGTCATATTGAGGCTGTCTGAAGATAAATTTATCATCCAGAAAAAACACAAACAGTTTGAAAAATGAAAGGAAGTGAGGTGACATGGCTTGACGTTTAAATAAATCATTTTAACATGATTAAAAAACTTGTCCTGTCTGACACCCAGCACTTGGGTACTTTGTAAAGACTTTTTTTTTTTTTTCTTGACAAAGACAAGTCCCTGTTTGGTATACAAAAGCCTTTGCCATTCAATTACTCAGAACAATCTTTGGCCAATTACTTTTCTGAGTGACTACCAGGGCGTACAGCCCACAGCTGGCCCACTCTCTGGGGTGGTAACGGGGGACTTGGGATAGTCAATGATTATCACAGGGGCCAAAGCTGGGATAAAACATGAAGGGGTCTAGGCAACCAGAGGATTTTTTTTTTTTTTTTAAGAGAGGAATGAGTAGAAAGTGAATTCTTAATCCTGTTCTTCTGGATGAGGGTTGATGGAGAAGGAAATCCGGCCAAAAGAAGAAAGATCCTCTTCAAATGCCTGGGCAGACACTTCCCCAAGCCAGATGTGTCGTGTTCCTTACATCTCCCAGGGCATGGAAGACAGCCTGAACTCTGTGGCTGATGGAATTAGGACTCAGAGTTCTCTCTGGCTTTGCCACGGTGGGCAGGGGCTCCGTTGGGGTGGTGGATATAAGTCCTCTTGAGTTCTCAAGTGTTGGTTTGTTGTAGAAGCAAACGGAAGTGACCTGGAATTCAGCATTCTACACACTCAAGACACACCCCTGTCCACTTGTCCCTCCCTCCCCACTGGCCTTGCCAGCACACCTTGTGTACTTTGTAAAGGTCACTGGCTGCAGTTCTGTCAGATGACTGACAGCACTTCCCAGCCCAGCTCAGCAATGTGCAGACACTTGAGCTGCGGAGGGGGAGGTGCTGGAGGTGGGTACAGGTGTTCTTGGATGTGATGGGAGAGAGAGGGACGTTCCAGGGTTTCCCCCAGTTCAGCCTAAGGTGAAATGGCTCTTGGGAGATTTCTAGGTGTCCTTGGGTGGTACTTTCCACCCAGAACAGGAGAGCTATAACACAGTGTGGACGTTTTCTCCTATTAGCAATTTGGTCTCTTCAGTTTTGTTAATGGGATAACAAGAGGTGCTGGTTATGGTGCAGAAGTCTCGTCGTGTTGGTAATTTTCACTGTAACATGTTAGCAATCTGTCACTATTTGTTTCCAGCAATACTGGCAAGAATCTGCTTACATCAGGGCCTCTCATTTTCTCTCCACACCACCAGACTGTTCTTTCTTTCTCTGGCTAGGTAGTTTCCCTACTTTAATCTGTCTCTGTCCATCTGTCTGTGCCCTTGTCCTCAGTCTGCCTGTTGTGGCTCTCCCTGTCACTTCCTACCCCTCCGATAACCTATTCCAATATTGCATCAGAGAGAAAGGACATTCCAGGGCAGCCTGCGATGATGACAGAATTCCAGAGCTGTAAGCACCAAGGTATCATCATGACAACCTCCTCGCTGGTCAGATGGAGAACCAAGGCCCAGAAGAGAAGTGGCTTGCTCAAGGTATCACTGTCCATTTGGTCAGGGTCAGGACTAGCACTCTGGTTTCATGTTTTTTTGTTTTAAATGTATTTTTGGTCTGTTTGGTTTTTTGCAGTGCTGAAGGTGGAACTCAGGCTCTCGCACATGCTAGGCAAGCACTCTGCTGCTCAGCTATACTCCCAGCCCTGGTTTTAAATTCAGCGTGTCTTCTACTACCTGCATATGTTATATGCAAAAAAATCAGGCAATCCCAGAAATTAACTTTCTTACATAGGGGACCACACCCTGATGAAGTCATAGAGAGCATAGTATCTCTGTTCCCAAGCTGATAGAGCCTTTCTCAACTCCATCAGAAGGAACCCTCAAACAAGGTGGTTTTCCTGGGGTGGCCCATCCTGTTGTGAGTTGTGATGCGACATTCTCGGGGATTTTGTTTTGGAATCAAAAAGGATGCCCTCCTGAGTGAATCCTGGCTGGCAGTGGGTGGATGTAGCCTCTGGCCCCACCTGTGACCACCAGCGGTCCAGCACAGAAGGTCTGATTGTAAATAGCCTTTTCTAAGTGATGTGAGATGCTGCTGTTCACTTCTTGCTCTGCACCCCTGCTGTGGTTCCAGGAGACCTTCACCTTGCCCTTGAGCATGGGCTGGGTGGCCAAAGTTTGTTCCTGTTGAACATGTACCTTTCCATAGCTGGTATACTGAGGAGTGAAGGCAGAGGAGAGAGAAGCATCAACTGGTTTGTAAAGATGCCAGATTAGATTTTGAGTCCGATGGATCAGGGTTTAAATCTTAGTCTTACTATTTACTGGCTTCAGGATCTTCCTAGATACAGAAATGTACAGTCTCAGTTTCTTTACTTGTAAAATGGGGATTCATCATCTTTTTCTCATAGATGTTCAGTGGGGAGTAGAGAAAATGTTTGGGAAGTACATAGATCTCCAAGATACCTAGTAAGTGGGCCGTAAGCCAAACATGCAGTTCTTCATCCATCCACTTACAGGTGGACCAGGGGATGCAGATGCCACCCTTGGCCACTTTTCGAGCTCATTCATAGCTACTATCAAGCTCACGGTTTAGGTTGACGGCTGATATGCAGCAATGGACTGTGGAGTGAAAAGCCAATTGTTTTCATTGAGGGTCAAGGAGAATTTCTGAGATGGAGGGACTCAGAGCATCTGCTGGTGGAGGGAGGAAACAGTTGACCAGAGTCACAGGAGATGCTGTTGAGGAGAAAATGAATATTCAGATTTCAGTGGCAGGAAAAAAAAAAAAAAAGAAAAAAGGAAAAAGCTCTGACTTGTGAGCTAGTGAGAGCTACCAGGACTGTGCACATTCTCTCTGTCAAAACCTTCCCACTAATTGTCCAAGGCTTCCTTGATTGCTTCTAATGAAACCACCAGCTGACTCTGACATCTCAGAACAGTCTCATCATGCCCTGTTGAATAGTAAACACTGTTCACAGGGGCAGACAAGTTGGCGATGTCATCCTGGGAGGGGGCGTGTCATCCTGGGAAGCAGCTTCGAGAGCTGGCTTCCGGGCCCAGGGCTTGCCAGAGCCACAGGTGAGCAGGTCCCTGGACTGGCCCAGCCCTTTCTTCAGTTGTCCTTAAGGTGCTTTGGCTGAAGGTTCTGACTGCCTGTCTGTCTGGTGCTGTCTTTAGAGTTAACAGATTGTGTGTGTGTGTGTGTGTGTGTGTGTGTGTGTGTGTGTGTGTACGCATGAACATGCTTGTATGTTTGTGTATGCATGTACCACATCCTTCCATGGAATCCAAGTCTTTCTCTACTTAAAAAAAATGGGAGGTTGGGGTGGGATATAGGTCCAATTATTTAGCCCCATGGGTCTCGGATTCTATCAATACCTTCCTCCAACTAACTCCTGCTCATTCTGCACATGGCACCATGCCTGTCTTCTTCTTAGGACTTCTGAAGCACCTAGTTTAAGACCTCTCTCTCTCTCTCTCTCTCTCTCTCTCTCTCTCTCTCTCTCTCTCTCCCACAACTCTTCTTTTTCTCTCTTTAATTCTTAACATTGATTAAGGAGATACATTTCTTGCTCTTTATTTGTTTCTTCTTCTGGAGATTAGGAGTCAGGCGAGGGCAGGACCTTTCCCACCCTGTTCCCCTCTATCTTGCAGAACACTGCAGGATTGAGGCCACAGGTGCTCAGCGCCTACCTGTTGGCTAAATCAGGAAGCCTACATGGAGTGTCTGTTAATGACTTCCTCTACCTGCCTCATAGGCTTTCTGTAAGGGTCAAATGACAGCAGCTGTGAAAGTAATTTGAAAAAGTGAAAAGAAATATGCCAAGTGCGAGCTATTAACATTACTCTCCCGTGGGAGGCAGAGGACATTCCTTTGCCAAAATGTCTCAGTAGCCTTGAGGTGAGCCTGGCAGAATCTGGCCACCTGCCAAGTCTTTCACTCCCACCTACGTGGGGGCCCTTGAAGCAGGACCTGAGATTGCAGGACAGCTCAGCTCAGTTTTATTCATACTTCTTACGTGCCTGCTGCCACGTGATGGGTGTCAAGAGGCAGGGGTGTGGAAACCCGTCACTTAGCTTCTGTTCTCAGGCAACTCATAACCCAGGAGGCTAGGACAACTTGCAAACCAGTCAATTTTACTACAGGGACACCTGGAACAGGACAGGCAAGCTTAGGTACTAAAGTTGCTGGGAGGAAGGAATGATTCATCCTAAGATGAGGAGATGACACTGGACCACTTGGAAGATGAGGTCCACCCTTCTAGGAACGTGGTGGAGATGTTTCCTAGAACCCTGTGTTTCTCAGCCTTGATTTTCAACCTTAACTTTGTCTTCCTTCTCTCCCCCACTAACTTCCATCTGCCACAGGTGGCTCTTTAGACAGTTTCCCTTGATCACTCCCAACATGAAGATTTAATACCAGAGATAGATATGATGTGACCTTTGGGAGGACCACAAATCATTGCAACAGTTAAATTTTTTTTTTACCCCCAAGAACCAGTGTTTGTCTTGCTGGGTGCTGTTGCCTCTGTTGTGATTGCATGCTGTAGCTACCTGCCTCTCTGCTCTCCCAAACAGTTGTGATGACCTCAGACAAATTCTCCAGGTCCAATGGCCTGGTTTTCCTCTCTTGTATTGACTATCACCAAACGTCCAGCTCTGAGATAAATGCAGCCTAGAAGTCAGAGTTCCAGTGGGCCTCCCCTTCCTCTCCTTTTCCTAGGGCATGTAGGATGCTTTACCCAACATCACCTTTCCTGCATCCCCATGGTCCTTCTCCATGGACCTGACCACTTTTGCTTTCACCAGAACAATGTGGCTATCCCCACTAACACAACATTGAGGGACAGGGCTCCTTCATTTCCTCTTTGGTCATGAGCTTCCTGTCACCTTCTTATTTCAGCAGCACTCTTAGCCCATGCTGTCCAGTTGATGCTGCGATGCTGCTGAGCCCTGGGCCAATGTCATGCTAGGCGATGTGATTTCTGTGTGTGCTCCAGTCTGTAGACTGGCAGCTTCCTGTAGACAGGGACTACATGTTTTTTTTTTTTTTTTTTAAAGTTTCTCCTGTGCCTAAACCACTTTTCAATAAACACTTGCTAGTTGATTGACATTTTTTCCCTTTCCTTGTCTGCATGATTCAGGACACCAGGAATTGTTCTTTTTATGAATCTTCCCATGGAATACAAGGCACCAAAGCAGGGACTTAACAAATGTTAGTTGAATGAATTGAATCAAGGACTACTTTTGTTTCTGTTTGCACCATTATAAAAAAAAAAAAAAAGGTAATTGACTCAGATCCAGACATCCTGGAACTTCATGTAGAGAGTCAATTGGCTTCAAAGGTTTGCATCCATCGTAGACTTTCTGAGCTCATATTTTCTCAGGAACTGAGCAAGACACCTGCCAGGGGTCATATTCTGTCAAGAGACTGATTTTCTCCTAGAGGAAGAACCCTTGTTGGCAGTCTCAGTTTTTTTTTTTTTTTCCCTGCTGAGAAACCAACTACAATCAAAAAGCAGTCTCTTTGGGTTCCATCGTGGGCCCCTCTGACAACACTTCTTTGGAGCTCTTCCCTCGTGTGGCTTCTGGTTGGGTTGGATTAGCAAGACATTTAGACATTCTGCTCGGTAAATTACCGGAGAAATTATATCCCTGTCATATTTGAACACTCCGAAATAGGAAAGAATTACTTTATTGGGGGATTCCCCCTCCCTCCTCCTCCATGTTTGAAGCTAACAAAAATGTTTTCAAGCAATTTCTTGCCGTGAGATTTAGTGGAACTTACTTCAAGTGTCTTTCCAGAACCTTTCATAGAAAAGTAATTGTGTAATTAGCTATAAATTAGTAAAAATTATGCTAATTACTTCCAGGTGTGACATATTTTGTGCTTAAAAACAAGGAAGAGAAATAAAGGGGCTGTCACTGTGTTTCCCAAGTGAAGTCTGGCCCAGGCAGCTTGACAGGCTGATGTGCACATTTACCTAATATTATATATTTTTTTAATTATGTAATTTCTGAATAAGTACAAACAGACCCAGGAACAAAAGTACAACAGACAAAACCCAGGGGTGGTTCTTTTTTTGTGTGTGTGCTAATTAAAAGGAGCCTAAGCAGGAGTGTTTTCAGTACTTTTCAAACCTGTAATGGGAAGAATGGGCTGGAGCGGGGGGTGGGGTGGGGGTGATGCTGATGCCAGGCTTCATGGAGGACATCCAGTGGCCTCTGGAGGGGTGTCCCCTCATCACGCTCCCTTCAGCCTTCCAGTTCTAGTCATTGAGGTAGTATGCACCAGGGACATGTCTCTGGTTTTCCTCTGTAGACAGCTCTTTTCTCGGCACAGAACTTTACTCTGCTGGCTTGTCATGGACCCCTCTCATCACGATCCTGGGGAGCATGTAGGGCAGGTGTGGAGGACTTCATATTACAGCCATGCACCATCCACGATAGGGATACAATGTGAGAAATGCTTCATCAGGTGGCTGATTTTGTCTTTGAGCAAACATATTGAGGTGTATTTATACACACCAAGATGGTTACAGTAACCATCTCAGGAAGTGATGGAGTCTTACGGGTGTGCTGTGGTATATTTTCTTTTTTTTTTAATTTGTTTTAATTAGTTACACATGACAGTACAATGATCTTGACATACCATACATTTGAATCAGATGAAATATAACTTCTCATTTTTCTGAGTGTACAGGTTGCAGAATTACATTGGTCATGCAGTTACGTATATACACGCTGCGATATGTTTTCAACATCAGCTTTATTATGTGATGCATAACTGTATATAAAAGTCTAAAGCACCATATTCTCCTGGAATGGTGTAGAGTGAGGAAGGAAGTAGGATTGCCTACCAAAATTCTTTCCTTCCTTCCTTCCTTCCTTCCTTCCTTCCTTCCTTCCTTCCTTCCTTCCTTCCTTCCTTCTTTCCTCTTCTTTTTGAACCAATTCAATGATGATTGGTACTATCTGTACCCACTGGCAATAATGCTAAAATGTAAAAGCAACCAATTGAACCATCAATAGGTCAAATATATGGGGTCT